ATTAATTAAGGGTTGCAAATGGCATGCATGCGCACGTCACCCGTATGACAAAAGAGGAGAACCGTCAATAATTACCTGAAGAACGGCATTGGAACCCGTGGATGGCGCCTTGACGCCCGGACACTGAGTAATCACATTCTGATAGCAGCGCTTGTGCACCACACAAGTGCACACCTGACACTGATAGGCCTGGTTCCATAGACCCCAGATAAATTCGTTGCAGAGCGAACAGAATGTGAATTGTTTTAGCACAGTAACCTATGAATAAGAAGATAGAGATGCAAACCACCAGCGTAATGGTTCCCGATAAAAATACCATGTCACTGAAAAATGACAGCAAAACAGGCTATGTGAAATCTGCAACACATGGCACACTTATAACTAGACTGTTTTCTAATTACATCTCATTTCAAGCGATAAAGTACAATGAATGTGTATGACTGCTCTCCGAAAACAGCCAAAATAATGGTATCACGAAGTGCAAGATTAGTTTATAATTCCTGCTCGAGGAGGAAGGCGAAACACCCAGAACATACTTTAATCATACTTGCATTACAAATTCTATCCGTTGCGTCATTATATCAGGCAAGCAATAAGCAGGACTTGCTGGGTATACCTATCGCCTTTATGATTTCCCGGGCTGACGTTATGATCTGGCAGTGAGATATTCTACCAAGGAGTAAATTCGAATAGCAAGGAGGAGGACGAGTACTGTTCCGAGCGTATTTTCAATTGTGAACGGAAACACCAGCTATATATTCATTTGGAGAACTTGAAGATGCCACATGGTGCAAAGTAGATCCGCTTGCATATGAGCCTCGACATGCCTCTTGTCACTATCGAACAAACCCATTTCGATAGTTCATAAGGGTTACACGATATAAGCGTGATTGAAGTTAACGGCCGTTAGGTGTCCTTACATCCAAGTATTCTATGCCAAATTCAAAGCCAGAAAGGCATAAGTCTGTATCGAAGGGACCACGGTAAAGAAAACAGCTACACAAAAAAAGGTCGACGGAACTGGATTTCATTCCACAAAAAAAATTAGAAAAATAAGTCATGAACTGACTGCGGTGTAAAACAAAATTAGAGTACATTATTCAATTCTCGCTCGCTTTATTTCCTACCATGAGTAGAATATCACCGCGTTATTAGTTCTTCTCAGAAAATGGTAATGATACTGAGGAAGAATAAACGATGCTCCGGAATGTTTAAGCATTAAACTGGCAGCATTTATGGAAAGCAACGTTCTGCAAACAGGTGAATGTCAAGACAAAACTGTTAAAAAATATTTAAGCCAATTGAGTCTAAGTTAATCCGAACCTGAAATTTGTGCCCTTTAGCTTGATGAATCCGCCTTCGCAGAGCTCCTGCTCGATAATGCTTCGCATGTAGGACGCCTCCACTGGCAAGAGAATTATCCTTGTCAAAGGCCAACTTCGGGGGTTCATCTGTTCGTGTGCCAATGAGATCAATCTGCAACTTGAGTCGGCCTTGGGGTTCTAAATCCAGCCAAAATTCGTTGCCTGAACGGACATTCCGCATAAGGAGTTCGGCAATAGCCACGAAATCGTCGGGAGGGATGGCGGCATCGTGATAGACAGTGAAAGTGAGCCGCTGAGCACTGGTCACCTCCGCCTTCACGTCCTCCTTCCAGCGTGGAGAATTTGTCTTGGACTTGGTGGATGTCTTAGCGATCGCGAGATCATCTACCTCAATGGTTACGTAAGGATCCAACAGCTCGTAGAGCTTAGCTGCTGGGCCCACAGCATGACGCGTGGCGCAGGCGGTTGCCTTCAACTCAGTTGCCTCGATCACTTGAACGTGGATCGTCCCCGAGAAGTACTCCATTCCACTTATACGTGAAGCTGGGCTAGCAGAGTTAAGCCGAAGCGGCCAATCATGACACGAGCCTTAATGTGAGGCTAAACTCATGCTACTGCGTGCCTACATGCACCCACGTAAAAGCACACAATCACAAAGGTACCACATACCGCGCAACAAAAAACAGACAATGTAACCCGTTTCCACAGACAAAGGTGCCATAGACACGATGCAAAAAAGTAAGCTAAGACAAATGCTGCTGGAGGACTGCGGGATTACGCAGGTCTCCGTGGGTGAAACCAATGGAAATTATAGACGAGCCTATACGACAAACCACCTCACCAATTAGAGTGGACTGAAATCCAAGGTAGCATACGAGTACCGCGTCACATAATAAAACGGGCACCAACACATGACTGTAGCAACTACAAAATTTGTTTCCGAAATTTGAGCCACATTACTGTTGAATCCAGTTTGCAATGCTGCCAAATCTGCTCAAAGATGTTTATTAAACTAAATACTAGTCATTAATCCTTAGTTGAAACAGAACATGTCTCACTAAACTACAAAGAATCTCGAAACCACATAGTGGTTGCAAAGCGTTATCATCTCCCCATTGGCATTTATTCGACACAATACCTCAAAGCAGCAAAGTTAAGTCATGCCATAAAAATACACAATAAGCAAGAAGACCCTCACTTGTAAAAGCCAGACGAACCCGCCTATTTGCAACAAGGAAACCCAGAAGAACCAACCAACGTTAACCCGACATGTATTAAAATGCGCGCCACGCCATACCTGTTAATCAGGCCCCTTTAGAACGAAACTTTGACAATATACCCCACAGGACGAGACAGGCTAGGACATAAGATAAGTGAGCATTGAAAAGTTCTACAAATTGTGTCCTTGGTTATGGTTGCTTGCATAAAAATTGTGAAGGAAACATTTGAGGCAAAAGAAATGTATCTAACATTTTAGCATTTAATGTCTTTTTAGCCTCTACTACTACTGTCGAGCTATACGTGAAACGCCTAATAAGTTGTTTAAATTTCCCTTGTAGATCAGAAATGGGATGTGATTTCGAACGTGGTGGTCAAGGGGAGAACAACTTGGGCCTTCTTCTTGCATTTATGCTATTTGCCGTCTTTCCTATACCGATATTCAACAAGGCTTTTCAAAAGGAGAAGACTCCTGTTGAGTTATTTAAGGAGGAGTCCGATGATATCGATACCAAGGCCACAATAACAAACAGCACCTGGATAGTGCAGACCCCCGGATTTTCCCACTAGCTGAAAGAAGGCATTGGGTTGAGTACATGTATTCTAGGGGGGGGGGGGAAAGTAATAAACCTTGGAACCAAAAGCCAAGACGAATACCAAAGTAACCGCTAGACATCAGGTCCCACATAAACAGAGCATGCATTGTTCCTCCCTTCGTTTGAACGACGTCTTTGGTGCTCACTCTAATGAATCTCCCGCGCTCACCATCAGCTATTACGAATCTGAGGGATCATACTTGGCCTTTTCAGCTAGAGTCAAGAGCATGAAATCAGAGCAACATACATCTGTTGACTATAAGTTGCTCCTAAAATAAGGAGTTGGGACAATGGTTTAAAACAGACGTGTAGCAAGAACGATTGGAGTAGACTTGGTCCCATATGTAAGAAGAGTAGCAGATGCAGTAGAGCTAATTCCGATGCGAAACGTTGAGTTTGCTCGCAATGGTGTTGCTTCATCTGTTAATAAGTAGCCTGTGAAAAATGGAGACAAGATGAAACCAAACGCAGACATCATTCTTAACCCTTCTGTTGTGAAGAATTCAGAGATTCTCTCGCCCTCGATGTAAATGCGACTCCCCACACCTTAGGTGCAAATGACTGAGCGTGTCGACCATCGGACCAGGCCAAAACTTAAGCTCTTTTCCTTTCCCATAAAATGCAAGCAATCAACCCTGCTGAATATCTTCTTATGTCAAATGTAAAGCCTCGAGATGCTACACCAACGATTGCAAAATTGCAAGCAAAATTTTCTTGCCAATTTTACATTGCGCTGATAAGAGTAGTTATTGAAAGTGGGAGAGTTATGCACAGCTTCCAAAGCAAAGAGTTGCGGGTGACTTCTATGATCAGCATCCAAAATACTCCCTTGCTCCACAGACAAGCCACAAGCAGTTAAAACAACGACGCTGTAAACAACGTGGAAAATTTCCATTTTAAAGAATTCCTAGTTGCATATTAATGCTAATATTAATGATGACAATATGGAAAACCTCCTTTACACGGATTTGTGTGCGATCCTATTCGCAATGCCACGTAGCTCTTCCAGATAGGTGCTTCATAGCATGGCTCTGAATACAAGTTTAACTCAACTGACGTTCTCGATTATGTTTTGTGCATCCAGTCCAAATGCATCATTATATTCAGTTAAAGCTAATGGTAAAGCTAATAATTTTCCTTAAATTCTTCTAAACTATGGCTGCGAGCAGGCTAGTGAGATCTTTCTTTCAGAATTTAGTAGTTTGTGAGACCAGGTTCAAAATAAATGTACGGATGGCTGAACCTTTAGTGTCAAAGTTTTCCCGGTCACGTGAGCTGAACTTCAAGTCAAGCCAAAGCCTACCTACATCTGTTCTCTCGAATCACAAGCATTGAGACAAAATTAATGTTTTTATTGCTTAAAAATTTTGGGACTGTATAACTTTGCTTAAAAAGCAATCTAATGCTTAAGAGTTAACTTCCCAATGCCTTTTGCTAACCGAAGGTAAGCCTCGGAACATTGAAGGGACGTTAAATTTTGAAGGCGCATTTGCATCCGCTTCACTTACACGTAAATGAAAACATAAGATCATGTCCGACACCGCTTTTTTGATTATGATTATGATTAACTATATAAAACTCGGAGATATGAACAAAATTCTGTCAATGCATGAGGATCTGTATTTATGCAAAAAAAAGAGTGTGGTCAGAGTCCCGCATGAGTTTCTTTGTAAGTATAGACCGTTAATATAACTTTTGTGCAAACGATATGTTTTAAAGTTATATATTTTTATAATGTATATTTTGTTTGCACGAATCGCAATATAATTTCTAACTGACCTTGAAATGTTTAAAATGACAGATGGTGCTGAACATCGTTCGGGATGTCGGGCTTTGTGTTTTCTAGTTTTCGCTTTTAATTATGCACCTACATTTTGCTGTGCCTATCTTAAGCCATGTCTCTAGCGGTATTTTTTTGTACTTCTGCGTCTTGTTTTCTTCCAAATCGAAACTTCTTGCTGTGCTTGCATAGATGCCAGTCTGCTCTGCAAAATTTTGTACCAGAGCTATTGGCATTAGTATCATTGATTGCCTACTGCTTTTTTCTAAGTTATTCGCGTGTAATTATACAATATTTTAGCTTTCGCATTTTCCATTATGTTAACTGAGTTAGGCTTAGCGAACTTTTCCTTCGTAGCCTTTCATTGATCGATATGCTTTGAGTACGTAGCTGTTTCGCAACAACCGGGTGGTTTTTTGGTACCCATAATTTTGATACATTCATTTGCTAGACTTTTGTTGGTGCTTTTCTTAAATATTTACTTCTTTTCAAAGAAGACTGAAGTATCCTGTACAATTATTTTCGTCTTTTATTATCTTAGGTATTTGTGCTATCTGTGGCAGTTGACTAGCTCTATCTAAGTTATAGGTCCACAATTCAGTAATTATGCAGTACCATGTTTTGCATTCCTAATTCTACGCATTTGATTGCATGTCAGTTTGAACTTTAATTCATTCTTAAATCCCGAAGGTGCAAATCGTACCATTTAATCGCCGTTTTATCATGTTTTATATGGTTACGTTTGTGTTTTAGTTGAGTCAATTGCTTATCAACAAATGATTCTTCGGGCATGTTTGATACACACTTTCCTACTCTATTCACTTTTGCAACCAATATTCCCATTCGATACCTCTAATTGTCCTATCATTCAAAGACAATGGACGGACTACATGGGAAACGGTGGCATCTCAAACCGAAATTGTAAATTGGAATCCTTTTTACAATTCTTTATAGTTGATGAAAATGTGTGTGGTGATGTGCACGAAGGCACCTGTTGTTCTCGCGAAATGCTCATAGGTATGGCCGAAGCAAGCGAGTATGAACTCAGAAGAATATTAAGCAATCTGTTGGAAACAACTGCTGAAAACTTTCGCAACGACACGATTGTTTTAAAATGTAGGTGATGGTTTTGCCATCTATGTTACTTTAGCGTTCGTTGCTGACACTCTCGGCTCAACAATGGAACAGTTGCACAGTCAACTACGGAACGACTTCAGCTACAAATTTCAAGCACACGAACAGTTCTTTATAAAGTTTTTCTCTACAATACAGTCATACTTGTCTGGCACTGTGGATGCTTTGCCACAGTTAGTATCCTCGTTTTTCGATGAACTCCTTTATCGGATCACCCAAATCCTTCTAAATTCGAATTCGACAGACACATACACAGTGTGTGTGATCAACTCGCTGAGGTCCAAACAACCTTTTCTTCGAATTCCCTCGGTCATAACTAACATGACTATGGAAGCTTTTCCACCCATCCGTGTGGCAATAAACTCCATGGCCTTCGCTCGAGAGACGCTTCTCGCTGCCTCCATCACTGTTAGTTAGCGATCACCACGATGCTGTCCTCACTTTCACTAATAGATGACTATTTAATAAAAATTTTCTGTAATTTGAATTTTCCATCGTCAGTTGGATATCTTCGTAGATTTGCGGTTGATTTATCATTGTCTTGATTATTTCCATTATTATTCTGAATTTTTTTCATAACACTAAAATTGAGAGCCTTAACCGTCTTCCCCTGAAACAATACCGACTTTGTAGTTTTTTTTTATCCTGTACGAATAAACATTTCTTAAATGTCATACAGATACATCTCTCAAATGAATGCCTTGCTGAATATCAACGTCTCAGATTCTGCAGTCTCTGTGCTGGTGTTATAAATGCCAATTTGTGCGAATCTGCTTGCTTTCGGTTGGCTGAAATATGCACACCCCAGCAATTGGCTTTGGGCGCACAGTGGGAGAAGTTTATTGGTAAGCTACTCCCTCCTCATTGCATTCAAAATCCGCTGTCGTCTGTTTAACATTAACTACTCTCGAGCCATTCTTTTACTTTGAACGCTCTTTTGTATTCCTATCACAATTGCTTAATTCTGTTTTAAGCCGGAGAGCGCGACGCAGCGCTAGCGTTGAGATTTCCTTCAAAAACAAGGCAACACTGCACTTTGCTGAGCAAATCAAGTTGAATGCTCGGCTCTTGTAGTCGAACAATGTTTTACATCCACTCAACTAAATTCCGCCTTCATTAATAATGCTGGTAGCATTGGTCGTTTTAAATCACTTACAGCTTCCATATAGATGGTCTACTCTCGTTTACGCTTTGACCCTCCACTGTTTGAAACTAAGGATGGCACTGGTCTTTATCTAACTCACATCATTAGTGAGTCCTAATCGCCCAGTAAACTAAAAATGCCTTCTGTTCGACCAAAATGGTAAGAGGGTTTGTGAACTGCTAAGCTGAAGGGGCTGAGCATCCGTTCCACTTCAATTGGCATCAGCGGCTCCTGTTGGTAGACCGATGCTTCACAAACTCCGCTACCCATTCCTTGATGTTGCCCTATGTTTATTCGCTTCCCTATTTTATTCAATTGAATTGTATGGTAAATCTGATTATTTTATGATTCGTGAAGGGTCTGTGTTCGGATTAAATCAATGGAAATCCTGGGATTCGGTGAGTTACATAGCTGTACTCCCGATTACACCTCCCACTTGTCCAGTGGAAATTAGTTTTGCAAGATTTGTGAATAGAAAAAAGGAAACAATTTCTTGCCACCAGGCGTAAGACAAATATATTTTGTAGGTTCTTTGTGGGACTTGTGAGTCAATTCTGCAACCAATCCGTGTGAAGCCGTTCAATCGTCAATGGCTTTAAGTAGAGATGGGAGAATTTTCGTTGGAAGATTGTTATCCTATCGCCAAAGAGATTTCATCAAGTCATCCATTACATTCGGGTGAAAGTAAACGTTGAGGTTTGACGTGCGTTGGAAAAGCTTGAACCACTTTTAATCGCTTGCTCAAAGTCGTTGTGAAAGCAGAGTGAGTCAAGTCGTCCACTTTTTCCAACCACATCCTTCTCCAAGTCGCGTTCGGCTGCTTTACCTCGACGTTGAAGTGCCATTGATTTCATCGAACTCTGGGAAGACTGTGTTATAACATCTCTGCCTTTTGGTTCTACCCTTATGATTTCTTAAGTTGTGTCTACACACTTCATTTTCACCCGTCAAGTACCTGAATGATTACCTATGCGCTGGTTTGTTTCTCAAACTCATCATGCAACTTCTATTCGGTCATTCGCTTCAACCTCTCCCATAAATTAATGAATATTGTTTTGTTTCTTTTGATAAATAATATTGTCATTGCCACATGAACACTTACTATTCACTTGGGATCAGTAGATCCAATTTTTCCACCTGAGGGATATCTATTCAAATGTGGTCAAAGTCTTCGTCTTTATAATCTACTCGTAGCACTACTTTATGCCCAGTTCAGTCTAAAGTGTACTTTCATAATCAATTGCAATTTTGTAACAGCTTGTGCAGGCAATTTTTTGTGGATATGATCATTCTGCACTGTGAGCTAAAACGCCTTCTAGTTGGGAAGGTTTTGTGTTTTGTGGCACATATCCTGCACGTGATTACTTTTGTATAGGTGTCCACCTATTCACATCGTCCGATTGTAACATCCTTGTTAGTAATTCTCCACTCTCACTGCTGTATTTTCCTCTACCCTTGGAATTCGGGCATAAGTTGTAGATGATCCATGGGTAAAATCTGTGGCATGACATTTATTATCGCCGTTGTTTTGGCACGGATGCATATTCCGTATCCCGATTTCTGGAACCCTCTTAATGCATTTCCTGCCTAATCTTGCGTGCTGACTTAAAGGTCTTAGGCTCTTCTGTATCGTGGTACGTATTTTCTTAGCCAAGAGCAAGGGATAAAACTTTCCTGCAAATCGCAATGAATAAATCTACCAGCATAAATAGGCTTTCTTCTTACTGGATTGTTATCAGTATCTCAAATCTCTTCTATCCTTCAGCTGCCCTACAGGAAATCCTGAATTTGGTAGACAAGTTCCCCAAAGTCCATCGTCCTCTTCAAATGCATCTTACCGATGCGATTATGAACCTCAAGTCAGTCTACACTCTTCATGAACAGGAGGTATGCTACATATCCTTGGTAGCTCATAAACTTTCATTCCGCCAATGTCGCTTCAACCTTTATGCCGTTTCGCTTTATACATCTATGCAACACCTAAGATAATTTTTGCATAAAAACCTGAGGTTATAGCTTTTGCACGATTCTTGACAAGCTTTTGGCTCGAAAAAAGTGGCCGAGCTGCTGGTGAGTCTCCTGTTTGCATCGTACATTCCTAAAGACTATTTATGTTAAGGAGTTTGTTAATCGCTGTGGTTAACATATATATTGTCCAGCTAGCAGTTTGCACAAAAAATGTAGAAATGCATTCCGTTCCAAGGTAAACGCTTGTGCCAAGCGGGTTTTGTGCAGATTTTCTCCGCTGCGCAAGAGCAGACATTATCACTTCGATTTATGGAGGTGACCTTTGCAGAGTGTCGACAGTACCTACGAATTTGAGAATTTTTTAGCTTTTTAATAGTCGGCAATGTAGAAAACTGCAAATGGTATTCAGGCGCATTCTTCACTACCTGCAAAATGTCGCGCATCTAGGTGACGCCATCTTCCCCTTTTCCGACCTGCATCATGATATTATTTGTCTGGCATTCTTCCCATGAAGAATTGCTTCACTTAATCCCATTGCTGTGGTGTTTCACCTGTCTAGAACACCAACCTTTGCGCCTTTCTCGAATTATTTTATTCTGTGTAGGTCTTTCTTGCACTCCGAAGTTTGACACAGGCTTCCATCTCTCATTTCAGGCTATTCATTTGTATCACTGCCTGTAAATTAAGTTGTAATGTCGCGTTGATTGCTTAAAAATGACGTCGGTGAGTGCGTAGTGAGTTTCAGGTCCCAAAAGTACTGAGGGCTCTTTATCTGCCACTTTTACAATGTTTTGACGCTGCGACTTCATATACCTGCTCATTTTGTTGGTGGACAGGGTTTTAGTCTTGTCACAAAACGATTTTTTTATTGTGGCTCGCGGTAGTACTAATTCGAGTAATTCTATTTGGACAGGCATTTTGACTTAACACTGAGCTGAATAGCCGCAAAAGCATTAGTGACACCTAAATGAAACGTCTGATTATCGTAATTTGCATTTAAAATGTCGGAGAGATCGTTCAGCAACCACCAACTTCGCCTTATTGCTTTGTGTGCATTGTCTGCCAAACTGTGCAAGATCGCATAAATATGCATCCATCCCAGATTCCTTCAGTCGGGAGTTTCTGCCTAATGAGTGCAATTAAGTGGTTCACAGAGGAAATAGCACTTTCTACCATATCGCGTCCACACATGAAAAGAAACGCTCGTCTTTTCCGAACGAGTAAACGAACATGGGTATGGTAGACAACTGCCTCCACAGCAGATGGGTATAAAATAAGATCGCAGAAACAACAACTTATGTTCTTCACAGTCGTTTACCGTCATGCATGTCAAGTGTTTATGTCTCGTTTTGCCGGTCTGGAGTGGTCACGGAGGGGTTAAGAGAGATAACAAAGTGGCTGGCTTCTGTTCATCCCCATTCACTTCTCTGGTCACTTCTTGTTCTATCTAATCGAATCGAACTCCATTCAAAACAGATAAGCTTATCGGAATCCAAGCTTTTCTTGAGTAGCCAAACCTACTCACTGTCGTCGGCATTCTTTTACTCTACCGTGTAGGCGACAGCTATGCTATGCATGATATTAAATCCCAACGAAACAAATTTGTCCTCATTCTGGTTATTTTATAATCTTCCATTCTCTGTAAGGTCGCCCTCAGTTTTATCTAAAAAATTGTAAAAAGGAGACCTTTAACGTTGCACAGATTCTTTCAAACTGTTCGTCCTCCTCGTCGCAAGTCGGAAACGTCACAAGTGCAGGCTCCGACGACAACGGTCATAGAAGAGGCGGTCATTGGCCTTTTGGTGGTCATCGGCGTTCGCGACGCCAGCAGCCACCGGCCTTCTACCAGCCGCCCGTTGTTTACCAACAACCTCTCGGTCACTTGCGATCCCACGCCTTAGAGGCGAGACCTCTACCAACGGTAGCTCTTGGTGAACAGGGAATTGCTGGCCTCCAAGTATGGGCACGTGGTGTCAAACAGCGAGTAGGTCTCTCTCCTTCAGTTCCCTTGTATGACTGATGATCTTTTTTGGAATGTGTATTGAGCGTATCATTGGTTAAGCCTTATAAAGAAGAAGCATCTGTACCAAAAAGTAGCAAATATCACTTGGTGGTACCTGCCATCTGTTTTATTCTGCATGTGCACAACCCCACGACATGGCGACACTAAAAGGAAGTTTTTTCATTGTGGGCTTTTTTGGGTGACCATTAGAGTAAGCGAATTTGCAATGCAGCAGCATCTTAACATTCTAAAATTTAAAGCTAGTAGTAGACATGTGGCTTTGGAAAATGAAGTTCTTTCTAGCCAGTAATGCTCTACTATACTTTGATGACAACAAAAGCCACATCGGTTTAGTTAGTAAGGATTTTTCAACTCTGAGGATTGTGGTAGCCACTTACCTAACAGAAGGGCGGCAGTGTGAGGTAAGGCAGTTTCGTTTGGCGAGGTATCCCATTTTTTGTGGATGAACTTAAGTGTTGTTTGCCAGATTCTGCCATCAACTCCTGTTTAGTAGTTCGATGTGCTTCGCAATGCTCAACAGAGCCTAATTCTTCTACCCAATCTCTATTGCCATCGTCTTTTGACCACTTTGGTACTGACAATGATTATGCTATTCTTACTCGATAGTCGTCAACATATGCACATCGTTACGTTTGGCGCTTCACTACTTCCCATTTCTACTGGGTCCCGGAGGCAAACAAGTTAAGCAGCAATGCTGTGAAATTCACTTGCGTTTCTTTGTGAACGCGTCTACCAACCGAATAGTACTTTGTTTCATTCATGCTGGTCAGCTTACAGACTGGCTACTTATAGTTCGTGGGGATGATAAAGCCTCATTTAGAGTTTGTTTTGGGTGAGTTTGATTGGGGAAAGTAGGAGCCAAGGTTTGATGTGTGTTTAGGATGAGCTGCATTGATGGTGCCAATACGTCCCTCGATATTACCTCTTAACAGGCTCCTCAGTTCCAACCAGTCATGTTTCGTGTTAGCTGTGGACTCCATTAGAACCTTCTGCCCTTTTCACCTTTTGATTAATGGCAAAAAGTCAGAGATATGCTTGAGGCTCAATACGTCAGTTCTTGCGTCCATGCTTTGAACTGCACCGGGCAGCTTATGTCGGTGTCCACGTCTACGAGGGCTGTGCACTTTACTGCCGTGCGTAAATCGCAACCTTAAACATTCTTCACCTGTTTTCGAGCTCCTGCTTCACTTAGCAATAATGCGCACTGGAACCGCACTTACAGTCCAATTTGGACGAAACAAAGTTATTGAGATGGTAATAGCATTAATGGAAAAGTTTCTACAGGCACCTCTACTTTATTTCCATTGGCACTGAACAACCTCAAAATTTCCTTTGGAATTTGAATGTCTTTCTTCTTTTTTTATTGCGAATTGATGATTCGTTTGCTCATTCTTTTGGACCGCAACTTAGAAAAAGAGTTTACTACTTTTTGTTGTGAAACGCAGTTAAAACAAACGGTTCTTATTCATAATGCAATTTACTCGTGCAATCATCGCCTCCTGTTTAATCTCATTCCTTACCCCAACGGAAGATACTATTTACAAAAAATTTACAACACTGAGGAGGTGTGATAGTTTTGAGGAGTGTAAAGCAGCTCTTTTACATGGTTCATTTTTCTCCCACTCAGTGCCCTTTGGTTTCAAAAAATGAGTTCAGGTAACAGCATCCCTACTTCCTACCTGTCTGGTCTGTTTCAGTGCTATGTGGTGGGAGAAAGTGCGGTGCCATGCCTCCTGACACTGATGTGATAAACTCATTTTTGGCCTTCCACAGCTCCCATAGTTGTAAGCCCTTTTCTCGGTGGTGCCTCATGTCCAGTCTTCCGATTTCTTGAATTCGGCTTATACGGTGCACTCGTTGCCTCCTTCGTCTTGCTCAGTTCTTCAGTCTCTGACCTCCTGGAGCGCCATAGGGGCAGTTACAAAGTTTTCATCCTTTTAAATTGAAACCAGCCGCATATTTATGAAAAGCATCTTCAACTGACGTATGGCCTACTTTTTTGTTGAGACGCCCTTTGTGAGGCTCCAAGCTAGCTTATGAATGGCGTACAACATTTCCGCAATTGTAAAAAGTAATATTTGCGCACAATTGCTTTTTTGTCTTGTACATTTATTTGTGCATGCTCTTCTCCTGTCGCCTAGCGACAAATGTCTTGAATGTAATCGAGCACACGTACCGTTGTCAAGGTCTAGCATTTCACCGCCTCCCTCCTGTTGGGCGGAGAACAATCGCAATTTCATCTCGCATGCTAAAGGATGGGAGACTTCTTTGAGGTTTTCGAACCTTTTAACAATCGTTGTCCCTTTTGCTCTCAATCAAATAATCAAATTTTAGGAGACAAAGTGGAGCTGCATGTTGAAATTACACGCACTCTTGCATAGCACATAGTGTGGGAGTAGGACGAAGTCGTGCTGTTGTTTGTTTTGCGCAGAATTTTGGATGCCCATTCCCAGGCAATCTACTGCATTTACAGACCTGTTATTTTTGACGTGCTACTTGAATATTAGCCGTTTTCACCTCATCTAAAAACCTAGACTCTTCTACGCTACCGCTGCAGTTTCGCTGGTGTTCCTTTTACAAGCATTGTTCGCCCTACGCCTGGTTTGATTTTGATTTTTACCCAAATCATACCCTTGTGCCGACGCTACGTAGTGCCCATATTTTAACTTTCCCTACTTGGTTTTTCTCGAGTGCTGTGAAATGGCGTTCTTGCTGTCGCTCGCAGAAAAAGTTGGCGAATGCCACCGTAGCCATTCATGGCAATGCTTTTTTTGGAAATTTTGGTTAACAGTCTCAGACAAAGTACATCCGATCCCTGTGTAAGACTCAGTAAGAAACTGAAAAACAGTGAACTTACAGCAACCTCAACCTTAGAATTATGTTCGTCTCACATTTATGTTTACAATTGAGAAGAAGGTGGTCAAAAATGAAAACACTGTTATTCTCGTTGCATTCATGTTTTCTTCTGGTTTTCATTCTTGTAAGACTGAAAACATTTTGGCAATGTAGCCTACTTATTAATTCACCAAATCACTTCTCTGTATAACACTGTATAACATGTACTACTTTGTCAAATAAGCGGATGAAATTGTGCCCTCCATTACCACTACTTCGCACTGCCTCCTGAAACTTTGTCTGCTGCCTCTCTTGATGGCATTGTTAGCCGAAACTGAGGCGGGTTCACCTTACAAGCATCGGATGAAGTTATCACAAGGGATCAAGCTCATCCCTCTTCCGTCTTTTGGAAGGAATGACAATAAGGACTTTGAGAATATTGACAAGACACTCGGATTTGCAGCGCGGTCGTTTTGCTGATGCTTACTAGCCTACTAAGCTCGGTGCAAAAAGGACCGTGGCTAATAAACCATTGGACGGGCACATTCGCTTCCAACCGCTCGGATCACCTGTGGATAGGAAGCAGACGATAGCACTTTTGTTGAAGCTTAAACCATCTTATGTTTAAGTGAAATTGGTAGAATAGCTACAACGACTGGCAAATGACAGACGGATAGGCTGAAGAAAAACACATGCAATGCTTGTTTCTTGCCTCATTTGGTAGCGTACACACATCGCATGCAGGGAGGCGAGTCGTTACAGCGGGCGAGGCCGACACTCGTGTCGGGATCGCAACGTGTGCTTGTGCGTGTGATGAAACGTCGGTGTGCGCTTCTTTCTTCCAAAATTCCCACCCTATACTTTGCTTGTTTTTTCAAAGACGAAGAAGGTTATTTACCCATTTTACATTTCATAATCAGTTTTATTGCACCCTACCTCATACAAATATAACGACTTCCTTAAATTCAGTGTGACTTTGGCTATACTTTCATTGACAAGCCGTCCATTCACCATCTATTTTATTCGTCCCCATTACCAATTTAGTACCAACTCATAGGCTTTCTGTTCAGCCAACTCCTAGCAATCGAATGTACGGTAAATAGTTTTGATATGGCCCTTTCAAGGTGTTTATCTTATAAATTATCCGAGATATGAAAATGAGATAGAGTGGATCCCACTTTTGATTTCACTGTTCCAAAGTCGGTATCAAATGTGTAAAAGTGACGTTCAGGTTTAAGCACTGCTCTCACGATACAGGAACTGCCGCAAATGCTTATGAGAACGCTTGAGATAGGAGACCTAGTGTAATTTCTCAATTTTTTAAATCTTCTTTAAGACTAACAAGTCTAATTCCCATAATTAATTCACTCATTTCCATGAGTATTTTTCGCTGTGCCAGATAATTTGTCCTACCTTTCCCATTTTAAACTGTGTAGATTTGTTGTCTTAAAATGACAAAATGTCACTTAGTCCTTTGGTCGAATCCACTGGCTTGCAGCTGTGCAGGCACAAGGCCTTTTGTGACCCTCAGCTCTGGTTCAACGCCAGCATTGCATGTGGCCGCTATAACCGTCACAAGGAGGCAAGAAATTGCATCAGAATTTTCACTCATGCATCTGCCTTGTATTTTTGACACTGCCGCGCACATCGTTGCTACTGCTGTTGCTGAGTGAAATACATGAGTCAGGGAAGGTGCTGTCAAATCGCCGTGTCTAGACTAATTACAGGACTCCGCTCCAATTTCGTGGGCTTTGGTGTGGGTTCGCTACTACTGTTCATTCACTCTTTCCTCGAGCCACTTTCACCACACTCGTGGTTTTGTAATCCATCATGTTGGGGTAGGTTGAGAGATGGGCGCATTCATGCACATATTAATTTATGTGCACGGCTGAGACTTGATCACTGATTAGTGGCCATGAGGCACTTCTCTGTCCCCGTCATATATGTGTGAAGCTGGACTTACCCAAAGTGTAAAACAGTGCAAGCAGTCTTTCAACATCACCCTATAGTCTATTTTCACCTGTGTGAAGCGATGCAAAAAAATGTTTACCACTTCCCTCCCTAGTCGTCAAAGCCATCATTCTTGCTACTCCACTCATTCGGTCACTTCCTTACTATTTCTGCCAAACATTGTTAAATGAGGTGTCATCCAATTTTATTCATTAACACCTCGGCGGGATTGTTTCAATAACCTGATCTGCACTTTCTTTTTACCCTCAGGTGGAAGGACAATCTCGTTAATGTTTATTGACATTGGCAGAAGGAAACAAAGTGGCTTGTCATTGAGTTTCACCGATGACCGCCCAGATGAACGATTCATTATGGTGTGCTAATGCACACTCATCTTCTGGCATCGAGGCTTCGGTAGCAGATTAACGTTGTTTCCTTACTCCAGCCTAAGCATATTGTGTGAGATTTTTTGGAGGAGATCTTCATATTCAGTCATCACTAGATGGTAAACTCAGAACTGCGAGGCATACTAATCCTCCCATTAATTACATCGTCCCACTGGTCTCGGTTTATGGGTGCGTGCAGTTGCATACGCCTTTCCCGCATCGTGTTGCCCCTTGGTTTGGTCGTCTACCGTAAAAGCACTTTTGGTCAGTTATACGTTCACATCCTGGCTTCTTTACGAAATCTGCATCAGTAATTTGCATTACTTTTCTGTGAACACTGGGGGGCTACGCCTTTGTCACGCTCATATACTGAGGTTTGCAGAATTTTTTCCATATAAAATTAAGTGTTCCATAACCGTTGGATAGTGTTGAGTACTTTTTCTATCCGGTGCGTTGTCGTGGAGATTTGGCTAATGTTCGCATCACCGGTGGGTTCGGTCGCCACCTTAAAATTTCGTGCTCCATGTGTGCATCTCTTCTGTGTGTATGTGTAGCCGTAAACTGAAAAAGTGGACCACGTATTCTTTGTCGGAGTGAATTTCAACAAAAAGTTTCCTTGACTTTACGGAAATATTGCGCCAAAATGTCAGCTCAGTGAGTAAGTTTTGGGGTTGGATTGAATACATTGGCAGAAATGAAATGCTAAGAAAGAAGGTCGAGTTTTGCCTCTGGATGTCCGTCCAGTTAACACTACTGCAATAAATAGGGTGCTCCAAACAAGTGCTTGTTAAAGTCTCCTTAAGTGGCCTTTCGTAGTAATGTTGATCTGCACGAACAACTGTATTACAGTAAGAGGGTCGCCAGCCCTTCATTGTCGTCACTTTTCTTACTACTCCATACTGAACCATTCTTCTTGAAGTTAGGTAATTTTTTATTACTTATTCTCGGAAGCGCTAAATGAATTGGGTTGATTTTGCACAGGTCGTCCACCGCATTACACTGTACTGCTTGTGCTCTGACATATGAGTCTTCTGTTTGTATGGAGTCGGTCGTAATGAGTGTTTCCTGTTCTTCAAGTTACGCTTTCAAACACAAGAAGGTTTTGTGAGCTGTTCTTGCCGCTCTGGTGAATTATTACCACTTCTCGCAATAGCGCATGCTTACAAACCTCAGCATACGGCAAATCAGCGTTCATTTCTCCATACAGGAAACATCTACGAGATTCTTAATTCTTCATACCGCAAATGATGTGGCTATTAAGCTTCCACATTCAAATCAACCGCTTCTTTGCCCACGAGTGCGTTCACTTTGTCCCCTTGTTCACTAAATCTTCACCCACCTGATTTCTCCTCGTCCGAAGAGGTGTCCACTTGTAATTTGATCAGCATTTTGGGGATTGCACATGATTAAGGGCTGTTTTATGCCTCCTCATGACGCAAGTCAACAGAAGTGGGCGCTTGATGGGCGGAAGTTGCGAGCCAAACGCATTACTAAGTATACGCACTGAATGCCACCGTGTTCATCAGCCGTTTGGGTGGATAACGCACGAGTGGGCTTTACGTAGACCGCAGTCATTCACTTCACTATTTAAAGTTTACTAGGAAATTTCGAATAACAGTTGAGTCAATTTCAAATGCTGTTTTGTTTGGAATTTTCCTCCCCTTCATATATCATTGAGTAGAATCGTGCTTTTTCAGCGGTAGCAAAATGTTTCATTTATGGTCAAAGTTCTTCCGCTGTAAAATTCCACCGCACTGCATAAATTTCACCTGTCGCTTGAATAAACACCACGGTGTGTCGGCTGTAGTGAAAAGCAAACCAGTTCTTGCATTTTGTCTTTAGTATTTGCCACTTGACATTAAGCATATTCAACTATGAAGTCCGACTAGCCTAGTACAACTCCAAAACTCGTGGTAGTCATGTTTTGCTCACGAGCAAAGAGTTATTTGTGTTAATAAGTCTGACAGCATCAAGTAATTCTATTGGACAGTTACCTTTAGCCGCATTATTATCCGAAAACTGTATGTACGGGGATGGAAGAGGCTGACTTTTGTATGAAAAACCAAACCCATCTAGTCGCCTCCGCTCATGGTGCCGCCTCACTTCTCGCCCTATAAAATTAAATGAATGAACGGATTTAATAAGACGCCTTGCAGTTCTCAATGAGGAGGTCAAATTTTTTTATCTCGTCAAGGCTAACACGACCACACACACACACGCCTGAGACGTCCACATTTTTGCATAGTAATAGCCGAACCGGATGTGTGCAGATGAGAGTTGCAGTTGTGCTTGGACCCCCATGAATGCGGTATGTGAAGGTGATGGGTCTGCGCGTGTATGTGTGCACATGCGTTTGGATATGAACCTCTCCACTGGATCCATTAACCCTACGTGTGTAAACACAACAAATGGGCCTCGTTTTTTTTTTGCAACATGGGCACCTGAGTTGCATGTTTGAATTGATTGAAAGCTAAAAGCAAGGTCTAAGGCAAAGTTAAATTCGTGCAGCGAAAGGTGACTTCAATTCAAACTCTTTATGGTTTTTTTTTGCGATCTATGACGATTTTTGCTTACGGAAACCATTTTGCAAGCTGATGTGAATTTTTAAGCACCTTAATCTTGCCTGTCAAAAGCCGTGATGTCGGTGTGATTCACTCACACCGTTAACTCGTCGCATTTGCATTTAATGAGGTTGGTTTTCCCTTTGTAAGGCTGTGTGCTAAAATTCAGAGTTCGGTTCATTATCACAAGTTGCCTTCCCAAGTCATCTAAGCAATGGCAATTTATTTGGCTACAGGTGTCGGCACCATTGGGAGGGAGGTCGCTCACATTGCCACCACTCATCAAGCGCACAGACGTAGGGAATTTCTGCTGAATAGAAGTTTCTTGACTATCTGACGATTGTCTAGCTGTGGGAAGCCTCTTATCGTACCCATACCTTCGACTTGAAACAGCTCACTCCTGTCCGGTGTGCTCATTCCCATTTTTAGCGATTTCATGAGTGGCAGGAGGCGGTCAAGATTATTTTTTTGCCTATCAATCGTGTGCTTGCAGTCAAAATTGCGCCATCATGACCCTTGCCACTTTGATTGCATTTGTTGCTTTTTGTTAGCTCGCTATTTCACCTGATCATGAGAAAGTTCATTGCAAGTTTCTCCTTGCAGAGTATCGCAGGTCTGAGTCCAGTCATCCGACACACTACCTTTTGTTCACTCTAGTCGTTTTCTTCATAATAGTTCCGCCGTCATGTCATCCTTTCTAATTTTAGTGGAGGAATGGCGCAGGCCCTCTAGACTCATAAAATATTAGCAATAATTAAGTTATGTATATATCGCCTCAAACTGAGTTTAAAGTCACGCATTTAGCTCTTTCCGCATCCTTAATTTATCTTTACCTCCTAATTATTGTGGAGAAGCGGAAGTCATATCAGCAGCAAATTGTATGCCACACTGGACCACTCAAGTCATTATTTACCCTCACGTTGACTGACACTTTGAAAATGGTGCTGTCTTTCCGAAAACTATTGCGTTGTTCATTTCCATTTCTACTTGCAAGGAATTCATACCATTTACTCAGCTGTACATGCAGCGCCTTCATCTTTTGCTACGAATTTGAACCGTGTCGCTGTCCTCTTGGACGCAGTGAGTAGTTGAAGTTTGCCCTATTTGACTTGACTTCTGCTCTCACCTCCTATATGCGTTTTTGTATCAGTGCCTTCGCCCTTCGCTATTTTGTTCCTAATATTTGTGAAGTTGATTTTTTTCGCCGGAATTCGATGCAAAAAAAGAGTTTAGATTAGACATGTTTGGATGTAAATAAAGTGTATTGGCGGAGTCGGAATTTACAGCTCTATAGTGATTGCAATAACTCGGAGAGCATTTTTCATGGACCTATCAAATTTTTTGTGCTAAAAAGTGACACTCTTCAGAGGCAGTGTTTCATGTCATTGTTTTACTAACACAAGCATTTGCTATTGCAAGTGGAAGTGCTGACACACTGCCAGAAATCCACGACTATCAACAAGGTCTATTCCCCGCCACGATTTTCGAACCATTCCATCTCATATGGGTTACGGAGCGAATGGAGATGTTAGGCGTAGTGAAAAGTGGAACACAGCAAGACTTCTTCTTTCTCATTACTAATGCCTGTCTTTGGGAAGGTCATGTTGGAAGCGTTGAATGATTTCACATTATTGTATACATTTAGCTCTAGTTTTCATCGACACCTATTGTGGCCTTTAATTGGCAGAAAATGGACACTTTGACATCGAGTCAAAGCCAAATGTTTCAAAAAGACCCATTTGAAACACTACACTTTAATGGTTCACATAATACTGACGCGTATTTTTTGCCTAAGACCTTATCAAAAAATGAATCATTAAGTTGAAATCTAATCACACGTCATCAGATGAGACCTCGGGACGACGTGAATCATTGCGGCATTGTGCTTCGTTGTGAATGACGAGGCTTGGCACTGCTTGAGTTCGGCACTGATTCACACTTAAAATGATCACCTTTTTATTTTATACCTTTTGTAAACATTTCATCACACCATTCATTGTCACGGATTACGGAACCATTCGCGTCCCAGAGCGGCCATCTGTGCAATGCAGTCATTTACATCAACGTTGATGAATGGTTACTCCCGTGAGTGCAGAGAAGCACAATTTTTCAATGGAGGTGGAGAATTGCGATGTCACTTAAGATCCTCTTTGGAGGTTATATCAGTCCAAAGTACGCACTCCCACTAGAGCCCTTCAGGCTTCAATAAAAGACCTCAGAGAGGCTGTAGAGGAAATCTGGCGACTTCTGTTGCCCTAGTCCAAGTCGACCTCACAAGTGCCATAGATTGCTTTTTTTGTCTGTTGCATTCCAAGAGTTTGGCGTGGCATACAGTGCTCCGTTAAAAGTGAATAAAACGATTCTATATAAGTGTTGTTTAGTCAAATTTAACCTTTTTTGTCTAATCACCAAGTTTGAGGAAACATTTTTTTATTGTGTTGCAGTACAATCAAGTTGCTCACCTCTTCAAAAACTTGGGTCTGGAGATCTGCAAATCAGGAAAGCCACTATTCGGAGGCAGTTTTGCTCCTTCAAGCACCTGTTGGAATGGAACTTCGCTCGTCTCATCGTGAGTAGCAGCCTTTTTTCTCTTACATCACCCATAATAGTATAATCCTTCCCATATCCTGCATTTTCTTATAACCACTTAATTGAAATGACACGGATATTATGTTTGCCTTCCCCTTCATTGACACCTTCTATGCCACCATTTTGATCTCTCCATTTCCTTTTTAGCAGATACTTTTCGTCATTAATGTCACATTTGATAAACATTATACCGCACTCTTAGTCTTGTCCAGTAGGTCTGGCCGACTACTCGTTAACACCTTGTTCCTTACCGCACCACTGGCATTTCGCAGAATTCTATTGATGATTCTCCTGCATCCGATTGGGCTGATTGCCAACCAAAGAATCCGCACGTTTTCTATTCTTCTAGTTGTAACTGACAGCCACATTTAGCTGAGCACTGGCAGTGCTTAAAAACTGTTTTCAAACATCTTAAATAAACATCATTTCATCATACAATATCAACCCACTTTTCCCTAAAATTAAACAGAATGTAAAAGCATAAAAAAGGTTGACAATAAAGTGGGCATTGGTTCCGAATATTGTTGCATTTTCTATAAAAACTGATGACTGTTACAATCACCAATCGCTCATGCCACTTTGAAATCCCTTAAGACTTGTGGGATTCGAAGAATCTCTACTATTGTCCACCCACCTCTAATGAGCTGTACACGAGAGCATCAATGCATTTCCCTTTAGTATGCTCCTCTGAGCCTAGGTTTGCGTCATCCACCAAAATTTGCTTTGTCAGAGGAGCAGTACATTCTTGATTCCTCGTTTGCATTAACAAATTAATTTATCCTGGGATTTGTCGGTATTATTATTTCTTCTTCGCTGAACCCAAAATAAGTTTCCTGCAATTTCGCTCATTGTGATGCGTAAAATAAACCAAATGGATACGTGGATTTTCTCTCAAGCTTGAACTTTGTTTTTTAAATTATTTTTTCATTGCCTACGCAGTTATACAGCCACATCATCTGTTCCCATCGTTTCCTCTACCTTCATTAAACATTTTCACACGTCCGCACTGTAGTGACGAGCTGGACCTTTGCTTTGCTGAAAAAAATGAGTAAATAACGACTTACAGTACACAAAGTCTCATGTAGCCTGATCGCGGTGGCGTTGCTTCGTCCGTCTGTCAAATTGGTGCATTCTGCATTGGCATCCACGCCCCCGTGATTACACAATGGTGGTGTTGGAGGTTTCGATCCACCTTACGAACCCACTTCCACCTCCTGTAGTGATGGCACTTTGCACAGAGGAGACCGACTTTTCAAGTGGCATTAACCACAAATAAATTACACTTTTTGCATTAACAGCAAGCTATGCCTTTTGCCTCTGTTCCGAAGTGTCCAATGAAAGCTTGTGTGTTCAGATAGTTGCCTGCTTGTTCGAAATGCATTTCTCAAATACTCGTTTTAGTTTTGCATTTCTACCACGGAATGATCTATCACAAGAGAAATTTGAGTTTTACGGCTTGTGAAGGAGATCGGGCAGACGCCACGATCTCCCATTATGCACTGGATGCACAGAACTTGGGTTCGTTCTGTCCAAGATGCTAAGACAAATGCACACGTTTCGACTCAACCGGATTCCTCCTTCTTTGGTTCTCTCTTCACAAAGCGCTTGACCTGAGGAGGACAAGTGTCCTTTCGAATGCGTCACCCGACTTTATCACTGATAGCCTTTGTCTTCCCTCGTATCTGTTTTGATGGTACAGTGAAGGCATTACAATTGCCTTCTCATCTTACTTTTACAGTGTGTTTTTATACTGGTGGGGGACTTGTACTTTTAAGCCTAGGTATTTTTCAAAAACCATAATGCAAATTACTATTATCTTGAACCAAGATTTGTTTCAATAGTTACGTAGCGGATCGAATTTAAAAAGTCTTTACTCTTTCTCAGTTTACTTTGTACTTGGTTGTGTCGCGGAAGTGGAGACTCATGAGTGGAAACCTTACGTGTGCACGGCGCGCATCGCTATTCAACTGCACAACCTCTCTTGCCACTGTGCTCCCATTGTAATTGCCCATTCATAGCCTGTCATTAAAGCCGTTATTATTTGAATCAAAAGCTAACTTTGCTTCAAAAGGTAAAGTCACTGGATTCAGTAATGAGTGTCTGGTTTCATTTGCAATAACAAGTAATTCAATCGTTCTTAAATTTCCTTCATATTCGCCCCAAAAGTTTATTTTCACAACTCATTCTGATAAGCGCTTCAATAATTGTCGTTTCTGCGTCACACAAATGCCTTGATTATAATGTTGTCGAGGTCGAGTGTCGACTTCAGCTTGACGCGCTAGGAGGCCTCTTAGACACGCTTGTCTACGAATGAGTGCGACAAACAATCATAATCTAAAAGGAAAGCCATCTGATGTTAAATGCATACTTTTTTCGTTAAATTTAATTGCGACACAGTTCCCGTTCGGTGTTTTCCCTGGTTAATTCATCTATGCAAGATTTGTTGCGTCTACTGGGAAATGTTGTCATCATGTCCTTGACAGCTAAAAGAGAAGTGAGCATAATAATGCCTAGCGTTTTGCCTGATTCATAGGTTTCATTCACTGCGAGAGGGCCAAAATGGTTCAAAAGCTTTAGCAAGTGAGATTCTCGCAAAATCCCATTACAATAAAACTTTGGTGTAAATGAGTGATGCTGGAAGAAAGTCACTCCTGCCTTACGATGTTTCCAGCCCTGCCTTCATCATTCCTTCCAACTATTCTTTGTTCTGCCATTATTCCTGTTGGTCGCGTATGTATCGGCAGCCAAATCATAACTGTTACATCACTTATTTCTGGCATCTTCATTTTCAACCAATCGAGTATTTGCCACTTCACAGGCAGGTTTTGGGATAGTGACTAAATTAAACCTTGAGCCCCATATTTCGAAGACATCGATTAGGTCCATCTTAACCGCCTTCTCTTGTCCAGGGCGGCAACGCAACTGGATTTACGTCGAGGTCATTCAACCAGACCTACTGACCCAACCCTGCGTCAGAAGGAGTTAGGACTGCAGAGAGCATTGATTAGCCTGCAAGAAGTGGCAAACTCAACTTTAGCCGATCCGGAAGTTCTGCAACTGGCAGACCCTGCTGCGACCACCCTCAAGGTCGGCCGCAATGAGGTACCCGTGGATACGGATGAGGACGCTCTCCGCAGCTACCTTGTTTCCTTTGGCTCAACCGATACCAGTTCAGTAAGTCTAAAGTCTCTGATTTTGTCGAAACTACCTCCGTTCATACTTAAATAATGCATTATAACTATTCCTCCCATTGTTACCCATGGCCTTTTTGAAGGCCTTTTGGCCTTTTTTGCCTGCTGTAAGACAGGCAGCATGAATAAGTTCTGCATTCGGTATTTCTCAAGGCCAATATTTTTTTATGCTTCAGTACTGTGACGAACCACTCAAGTTCAGTAGTTTATTGCATAAAGATTCAACGTTATTTCGAAGTACGGAAGTTGGAACGCCTTGAGTCAGCCTTCCTCGTGTGACCTTTTGTGTTACCTTGTGACTCTGCTGCACCTATTCGCTCTTGCCTACACCTTTTTTTCGCTCATTTAACCAAAAGCAGCAGAATAAAACCATACTGGCATTTTACAGTCCAAGCTAAATCACTTTGCCCAGAGATGAAATAGTTTTCTAGGAAATGCTAAAACCTAGGCTACTTGAAGGATCATTTAAATGGGTTCCGTTGATAAATAATTCATTGCTTTTCAGCACTTGACATCTTCGTATAGATCTGTCATTCGTTGGCATATACACAATATTATCGGTTCTGCAAATGTTAATGCATGCCAAGACTTATGTATTAAAATCTTTATTGAGACTCATAACGCTGCTGCTGCCATACCGACGCCATGGAATGCACAGCCATCGCCGCCCATGACACCTTTGAATAGTGGAAGTGTCAGCATAGGTGCAGGCTTTGAGCCGGACACGGAGAGAGGTGAGGAGGGGAGTGGGTTCAGTGATGGAGAGGTGCCTCTGCCCTACGGTAGTCATTTTGCGATCCCTCCCGAGAACGATATCAACAACCAATTCCTGGAGTTGCCCCCATCCGCGCACCCCATGCCGCCTGTTGCTGCTCCCTCGGAGGCCACTGCTACCACCCAAAGGCCATCAGCTCTGCAATCACCAAATAACTTCATGCCTGGTGGTGATGACGAGGATTTCCGGCCGCAAGTTGAGGTGAACCAATATTCAATCTAATAATGACTAGAGTATTGGCAGGAACCAAGGCAGCATTGTATAGCCTTCATAAACATTGTAATTAAAAGGACCATTAGAATAACCAGCTGTTGATTTAAGCAGTAGAGATTTGCATCATCTCGACTTCATTCCCAAAACTAGTGTTTTGGACCATTAACTTGTATAGAAATTGCTCTTGCTGTTAAGACTTCAAAAGTGGAATACTAGGCGCCAAACACATGATGCAAGCAAATTAAAGTTTTTGTTCTCAAAATGTGGCTGCTCCAGAGACAGGTGCACCGTATCCCAAAACTGAAACATCCTATGCTTAATTGCGCGCCTCAACAGTGACCAGTAAACGACAATTCAGCAATTCTCTCGACCCAAATGAATTCTAACGAGCAAAGCGAGGTCTCCTGAAGCTGCTGGCATGTTCGCTGTGTGAATAACGAGGCATTAAATTGGTTCATTTACAGTTCTTTCGCCTACTTTATCACCTCGACCATTTACCATAACTTGCACACTTCGTGTTCCTCTCCCATTCCTCGACAGTACAATGTGCTAGTTTATTACGACTACAATTTGGTGATTCAACATTACATAGAGGGGGAGTTTTTTTTCACTTTGTTCCTGCGTTCATGTATGCTCGGTACTCGGCGATTTCGCCGCCTGCGGCATCTGTTCGCAGCATGTGTCAATTCATGAAAGTGTGCGTCAACGCAAACCATCCTCTAACATCTGGCCTCTCCGTCTCCCTTATCGGCAAACTCCCATGAGTTACGCCTCTAACAATTGTAGAATATTTTTATACTGTCTGCTCTCTTGATTGCATTGACATGGGACTTGGAAGTACGGCGTTAAAGGTTGGGTAGGTGTGCATGGAGGATTGATAGCTATAAAGGGTCTTCCCTTTAAGTTGAGTGTTTGAACAGCGGTGACGTCTTACCCGTTCCATCATTTCTCTAAGCTATTTCCAGCCTTTTTAGTCATTTCTACTCGGATATTTACGGATTGCGGTTAGGTAACATGATGGAATTATTTTGGCATATTTTTAAACTATAATAGATAAATAAAGTAAGCACCCGCTTTCCCTTACTGCATTGTGACTGTCGTAAAGTGAAGTTTTCTTTCAAGCTTTGTAAGTTCAGCTAACAGGTGTGTTTTCTGTTATCAAATTAGATTGCTCAATGTTATAACTTGCAACTTCAAAGCATGCTTGCAGATGCTTTATCAATCAACGCAAATATTCCTCTCTCTTGCTTCACTGACTTGATTGCAACTTTTAAACCATAAATAGGGTCTTAAATTGACAAGAACAAACATGTACTCTGCATACCTTTTTTTAAAGTCGTTGACAGTACAATTAAGACGTATGCGTTTTGGACATTCTTATCTTCACTGTCCTATATACTTCATAAATTTTAGCTGATCTTGGTGCGACTGCTTTTTTATTCAATACTCTACGAGATCCTAGGCGAAGAGTTGATCCACAACACATGTTTCTTATTAGAACTCGGGGTATGAGCCAATGAACGTGTATAAGTTTCCGGAGCCCCTACAACCAGAAGCAACACAGCCAACATGGCCAAACCAACCACAGTCACCATTCAATGCAGCGCCTGGTGCGTCACTCGCCAACTGGGACACGGAGTCCAACTCCCCAGAGGAGGGTTCAGGCCGCGAGCCAGTTGACACTCAATTGGGACTCAAGCCCTTGTCTGAGTGGACGAGTCCCCCACAGTCTTCGCAGTCGCGCTCTCCGGCCTCATCGTCTCCGGCAGCGTCTCAACCCCATCCCCCTGCACAGACTGGCGACGCAGGCTTAGTAGTAGACGAGGGCAAACTTGACATCCCTGACCAAATATGGGTACCTGAGGGTGACGGGATAGCGCACCACTACCCTAGTTCGTCCAACCCGAGAACTACCGGTAGCTCCCCCATCCTTGTTCCCTCATTTGTTTCCTCTGTTCTTCAAATGGCCGTCACCCTCTTCGTTGTCCTGCGTCGGTGATCGCGGTTACCCTTGAAAAATGTGTTTAAGCACTCTCTGAAACACCTTACTGTGGGACTACAACTCTTCTGTGCGTATATTTTTTATATCTATGCATTCGCCCTCTCTCTCCTCTCCGCTCTTTCTCTCTGACCCTCTCACTCCAGCTATTATACACCTCCACATGTATGTACATTTGTGCCCTTACCAACCTCTCTCTTTTATTGTCATGGATTGATTGATATTCATTATGATTATGCTGGTGAAATAAATTAATGTTCCTCTTGAGTTTGCTCCCTCACTCCACTGATAAATAGAAATCAGATTTCCCACATTTTATTCCCCAATGTGTTATGACATTAGTTAAACAAGACCTAATGCACTTCAGTGGGTTCTCGATTACTACTTGTCATCTTAAAGTTTAATGAGAATTATTCAAGTAGGGAAATGTTTTTGCAATATTGCACTCATTTTTACTTTTGAGACAGAAGAGTTTGCTACAGGTTGCTGATGGATAACAGATACGTCGACTACCACCTTTTCATCTTGGAATCTGCCACAGTGATGGTGGTTTTTGTTTCAAACGAAGCGAAGTTAACTTTACCTCGAGAAACCCATGATGCTTCAAAACATCGAAGCGTAAACCTGCTGTTATAGTTTCTGATTGAAGTACAATATGAGCGGTTGTTGGGAAGGAAGCATCAAACCACTGGAGTCCTACATAAAGTCAGTTGAATACTAATTACTGATATTTTCTGTAGTCTCTTCATCCCTTCTCCGTCCTTAATCGCCGTCTTCTGAGAAGCGAAATAGTTATACGAAGATTTATTAGGCATTGAAACGCAGTTACACTCTGCAGGATTAGGGGCGGCTATGATGTACAAGCTAGTCTTGGGAAGCATCCTCGCATGTCACTTCTACAGAGTTCAAGTTGAATTCCCCCTCCCTCCTAAAAGGCCCAATTTAAACGACTAGTATGCATTGCACATTTAATTAACTAATTTTTTCATCTGCGGCGAGCTTAAAAATAAATATTATCTGTTCAATTCCTTTCTTAAGAATAAAGTATCCGTAAATGTGCTGGCGGAACAGATGACAGTGATACAGTCCGAACTTTTCAAACCAAATATGGAACCTAAGATAATTGCTGTGTCCGTTTTTAATTAGGGATTCAGTTAGTGGAGCTTTTTAGGGGTAACTTTAAACAACATTAACGAATCGATGGCAAAGCAAAAAGCTGTATAGTTTATAGGTGGAAGACAGAAAGTTTGATTAGCGTGGTCTCGTAATGCGTTTGTAAAGCTTTCGACTGCTCTCCCTCCTACTGATCTGTTACATACAAAGGTACGGATAAGGTGCTGTCGCATTTACCAGAAACATTTAGGATCCCAGTTTCAGGATTATGATTGTGCAATGGATTTAATTAACTAATGTGTATTACAATGGTACTACGAAGCACATGATCAACGAAGCGGATCATATAAACACACTCCCAATGATTTGGCAAATTAGTCAACAGCAGGTTCAACTAAGTGAACCCGACGGTCTGCAGGACCGCAGGTCTATTCAACCGCAATAATGTCGGAAAATGTCTGACATTCTGGTTAATAATGGCTATAATAAGCATGCATTTTCTCTATTTACTCCGTATGTCAAAGAAAAGGGCAGCTCGAGCATCATGCCGATGGAGAAGAACAAACCTTCCAGTCTGGATGAAGAATGCACAATCACTCTTCCTTCTTCTTTGCGACGGCTTCCCCGTACTTTGTGTCGATATGTTCACTACGTAACTTTGAGGGTGACAGAATCTTAAAAAGTTTGCAAAGGGGAGGAAACACAGAGCGACGTTGAAATACCTTGTTTTACGTGATCACCTGAGGTCTGACGATTACATTGGGATTCGTCTGGCTGGCCTTCGGGCCAAACCAAGGACCTGTTCCTTCCTCTCTTCTTAAAATGCATGTATTCTGCTCAACTTAATGCCTTCTTCCACCTAGGGGAAAGTCTCGGAGCGCAATAGAGATGGAAACAACAAGGGCAAATATCTACGATTTCGCTGAGAACCCAAAGTGCAAAATAACAACCACGGATTAGCAGTACAATAAGTAAAATGTGTTGATTGGTACACAATTTAGCATTGATGAAATGCAATACATTGTTTTTGTGAGCACCTGTTGTTTTGCAGCTGCTTTAATAATCACCTGGCGCTTGTACGCGTGGGTTGGCCTTAAATAGAAGTGAAGGCTTACTCTCTTCTTCGTTCTACGGAACACATGTATTCAGTCCAAATAGATGTGTTCTTCAACAAGGTGTAGGGTCTCAAGGTGCTACACTAATAGCAAGGGAAGGCAAGACCAATATTTTTAATAGCTTCTATCCTGCGCATGAACTTCGGCAGGAAGATTTTCTGGATTCTTTGCAAATGAATGGCTCAAAATGGTGGCAGTATGGGAAGGTCAGGGTTGCTACATGAAACTTCGAAACTTTCTTTGTGTGGCCAAAATGAAGTCAAAATATGAGACGCCAGCGTCTAAGAAATAACAAAAAGACAAAATTTGGATTTTAAGTGCATATCTTTAATGTAGATGCATTGGCTAACGAAAGAATTATTTGCTTGCCAATCTAGCTTGCGTCGTAGCAGTTAGTTTAACATTATAATTTCCACATGTCAGGTATTTTACTTTTAATTTTTGTCTGTTTATAATTTAAATTAATTAGCAAGGTTAGATTGTTTTAACTTTTAATACCATTTGTTTGTCTTTTGATTGTCACGGTTACGGGTTAACTGCATACTCATGTGGGATGCAAAAATATCAATAATTTCTACGAACTTGCTTTGTATGCTATTTACCCTTACTTGCGGCGACCCCTATGTTGCTCTCAAGTTGCGTCAAAACCAGATGAGCTGCTTCCAAAACGATGTCGCATCCAATGTACTAACCAGAAGTACATTTCGCGTATATTGTTATCACTTTTGGGTTAAGTTTCTTACAAGATGGAACTTATAACAACAAAAAGCAAAAAGAAAGAAACAAACGATGAGCTTCGTCTCCGGGTTGATGTCTACGACCCTATGCTTTTCTTGATATTATCACGAGTGGGGATTTCATTTGGACTCACTTTGCAAACGTTTAGGAATATACAGATTCTGGTAAAGTCTACTATACAAGCGACCAACCTGGGATTCATAGGATTTGTTTATCTATAACTTCAAAATTTAAAAACAAGAAGACCCAAGTGGTGTGTGATTTTATTTAGTACTATTTGAAGAAAACGCTTCTCGACATCCAAAACATCGGAGCAGCTAACTACACCGCCCTTGGCTTGGTTGAAAAGTATAGCAATATTCAACTGGAAGTAAGGAGAGCATTGGACAGCTTGGACCTTATTACCAGATGGCACGATTACATGGTTGTAAGTGCCACATTTTTCCTATCCTTGTGTGTACTCATTTTATCGACCATCGGTCCTTTGAAGTTGAACGGGCGAGAGTGAGAATGGCGGAACTTATATAGACTATTGCTTTTCTAGTATCCATATTCTCAAATCTTTAAATTTTGCCGGAGTACCAATAGAAGAGCTTAAGGGTGGAAGGCTATGGGTACATTTACTAATTGGTTCTTACGTAATAAATCATAATGAATTCTAACCCTGACGTATGGATTCTTACTACATAGTGTCATCTGACGAATGCTGCTCTTTTGCTTATCCTTGTTATAGGATCTGCCTTTCTGTACATTTAGTACATCTTTAGATTCTAAATAAATGAATATGGGTTTACATATCTGATATTGGAAATTATGACAAATTTTTATCAACTGGCTAGGCATGACAACGACCTGCATTAGCTCGATGTGTTTCTTTGCTACTCGAAGATAGTGGTGGTTCTGACGTTAAAAGTACTTGAATAATACATGATTTAAACGTTCTAGTGATGTAGTTTTTCTCTGGGTCACGCTACCTTTCGACTCTTGTATTGAAACCAAGCGTTTAAGTTGTATTTTAGGTTTGTTGCAGCTCTGAATAAAGCACATTTGTTGAATCATTGGTCCTGTATTTGTGATGTGACACCTTTATTGAAAGCAAAACTTTCTTTAGGCTCTTATTAACCCACTTTATAATAAATTGGTAATACAGATGTCGGCTTGACTCCTATCAACTATATTTTGGTACCTTAACGAAAGTCAAGTTCTTTTGTTCATGACATGTTTTATCATTTGGGGGAACCACTAAGTTTACATCTTAACTTTTAAGCATGTCGATATGCGAAAGTTGTGCTCAAGCAGTTTTTTAATCACTTTTAAGCATTTAAAGAATCTTTGATAACTTATATTAGCATAGGCACATTGTGCTTTCTATGGAGACATTATCTTCTCTCTTGCTCAGCAGCATCAGAGATATTTCTTGTTTCATGTTCTTATTCCTGTTAGGCTCGTAAAGCACAGTAACTTAATGTCATCATATAACCTCTTATTTTCGAGTGTCTAAGATACTGACAACCTAGTAAAAATTATCTTTTTTCCACTCTAGTTCAAAACTTTCGGTAATTTTCTTAATATTGTCAAACTGGTCTGATCGCTCTGTTTTCCTATGCATTTTGGTTGATGCCGTGAGATCATGTTTAACGCCTTTGTGAATGCCAGGACCGCAAGCTTTCCAGCCATAGAAGTGCTACGCGAAGTAAACTGTGCCTGCCCCCATTAAAATAGCTGTAATCCTCACACGCATACGTATGCTCACACACCCATGGAAATGCTTACGTGTCATGTTCTGCGCTAGTGTTTTGTAGGACGCATCATCGTTTACAAACTCTTGAGTGCTTATGGAGTTTCACGGCTCCGATCAAAGTAACATTTGTGGAGCATTTTTTTTTGCAAAATGGTACATTTGAGTCATTTATTTACAAAGTTAACAGTTATCGTCTTCCTGAATTCTAGCACACGTTAGATAATTTAACTGTTATGTGTCTATCATTGTCATCGTTCATGAAAGGTGAGATTGCGGGTAAATTTTGTCTACCGATAGTACAGTACGGTTAAGGACTTCATGTGCTCTAGTAGGTTGTACTATTTTGGTTTGAATGAATGCGATGAGATTTTTTAGCTAAGCAGTGTAACGTCTGCCGATTACTCCCTTTTTAGAAACGCGAACAACGTTTCAGACAGACGACTAACGCTATCAATTGGAAGATTTTCGTGATTGGAATCTTGCAAATACTGTTGTTGCTCGCTTTGGGCTATTGGCAAATTCGGTCTCTTAAGAGCTATTTCATAGCGAAGAAGCTTGTTTAATCTCTCCTTTTTTGCTCACAGAAAAGTACCCACCCTTCGTGCAACAACTGGATCTGTACTTCAAGCTCATTTCATTATTCTGTTAGCATTTAACCCAATTTTTTCAATATAATCAGTGTGAAATATGTATTTTTTCTTACAATTGAGCTTCATTACAAGGTCCTTCCAACCTTTTACAAACATTAGGTGGTTTTCTAAACCACATTTCCCTTGCAGGACCACCATAAGAACCTCAGTGCTTGAAGAAAGACGCAAAATTTCGTTAATTCACAAGCACAATTCATGCCATCGCCTTAGCAAAGGACTAAGGCTGCCCACCTGCAAATAACTATTAATCAGTCCAGACATTCAAACGGGTCTCATAGGAATGTGAGCCCCCTAGATGGGACTGGCACTACCCATTTAACGGAGGAGGCTTTTAAATGGTCTCAAAATCGTAATGCGTGGTGCTGTATTGCTATTCTTAAGTTTTAGATAGCCTAATTTGATCCTCTGTTCTGTCTTCCGCTTCGGGTGTGTAACATCAGGATGCCACTTGGTCCGTTTTATATGAAAGCTCAGGTGGTACTAATGTTTGGGCTGACTTCACCATTCGAAAAGCGAAATCGCCTCCGCATCGAGTAACGATGGTTGTGAGTTCGTCTTTACCATCTGCTAGTAGAAGTGAAATCTTATGGATGGTGTAGTGTCTCTGACGTGACGACCTTAATGGCACCTATTGCGTTAGCACATGTTCAGACAACCAAAAACAAAGCCACCATTCAGAAGCTCAACATTTATGTGGCTATTTGACTTCAAAATTGTAGTTGGGTGCAGCGTCGATAAGCACGCGTTGTGCTCCAGCTGAAAATTTTCAAGAGCATTGCTTTCTAAGGGTTTTATTTACTAAGAAGAACTTCTGGGCTAATTAAAACCTCCCCCTTTTTAGCAATTGTTTCTTTTTAACGCTGAGAAAATTTCATTGAAATGGTAATAACCACTAACGAACACCCTTAGCTTAGCGTACCACTTTTTAGCGTCCAAACTCCATAACATTGCGAATTTTGCTCCTACCCCAGATACGAAATGAATTTGGCGCCTTAACAGCTGCAAGTAAATTTGTTAATTGTGTTGAAGCTGTTTAGTACTTGTTTAACGCTTGTACTTGTTCTACGTTAGATAGAGCTGTACCGACGCCTTCAACGAGAGAGATCTTGCGCAACTATACAGACCAATCTTCCACCGGGAACCCAGTATAAAGTCTATCACTTATGGAGCGAGAATCCCCGTCGCATAGTCAAGGATCTGCCATTTACGAAATATCCCATCAGGAACGCGGAAATTATCACCTAAACCCTAACAATACATCCAAATATGGTAAGGCCCAACGCAGGCTCATCCAAGGTAGACTAAGAAGACAAAGTCTGCGTTGGCAGAAGAGAGGACACCTGACGGTGCTGGAGGGCTGTACAACGCATACCTCTGTTTAGACTGTCCTTGCAATGTAGGGGGTATTCAATAAACCAAACTCTTAGTGGATGAGCGTGCAAAGATTGCTCTACGATAACGCTGTAGGCTTCTTCGATGATACAACCGAATTCCCATGCACTCTGCGTGAAGTGCCTAATGAATTTCCCAGAGTAAACCTCCTGAAAAATATCAGCTTAGAAACTCGTGTTGATAAACACTGCCATACACTATGGTTGTTTAAATTGTATGTAAAAATTACAAACGCCGTGCAAGTGAAGTGGGAGAATCCTACCCAGAACTGGCTCGTGCATCCTTAATGTGTCACTACCATTATTGACTGCATCTACGTCATACTACCTCTCTGCTAAAAACTGAGATGCAGAACATAGGGAGTGAGACGGTTGGCGTCAAGATCTCCTCTTGTACTTTGATATTTTGGTCAAATATTCAGTACTCTGCGTAGGAGCTTGAAAGTACGAATGTGACGATTCCGCTTAAAGGAATAACTTGTGATTCAAGACAAGGAGAGAATTCGAGAAACCCTAGCACTTTAAAAAATCAGAAGGCGCTATACCACTGGTTCAATGGAAAACAAAATGATTACGGAAATAGTCACCTTTCCTTGCTAAGCTCAAAACAAAATGTAGAATGAGCGATAATCTAGATGGAATAATAATGTAATTTAAGGGCACAACGTACTAATTCTGGCATAACAAAACTTAGCAACTGCGGTTTCCTAAATGCGTGTTTTGATGCAGTGAGCACTATGCAACCCATATCCTTTTGCGTTTGGTACCTAAGTTTAAATTAGTTTCTAATCTTTTCATTAACTTTTTATATTAAATACGCATATAGTCTAATTTTTTGACTTTGCAATCCAATGGAAAAATAACCTGGCTCTGTAATTTAGAAGTGCATGCAATTGCTCGCCTTGAAATTTAACGCGTTTGTTTGTAAGTGTAAATTGGCTACTGTTGAGGGCCATGCGGTGCTTTCAAAGTTTCCATTAGTTATCGTATTCCCTGGGATGGCTTTGGAAGAGGGTGAATGCTTGGACGACTCGCTTGTTTGGCGCTTAAAGCATGCAATTTCGCAGCACATTACATTTTCAAGGAATTTGGTCGTTTCTGGAATCATTTCATACAGTGTAGATGGTTGTAGTGAAAAATTTGTCAAAATTAACTTTTCTCTTAACGGTCAAGAGAATGCAAATGGTATGGCGTCGCCGAACGAATCTCCAGTCGAATCTGCCTGCGCTTTGTCAGTTGAAACGAAGCCACCAGAATGTGTCTCGTCTTCTGCTTCTCCTCCGATTTTATCAAGCAATTTGGGTTGTCTCCCCGTCCAAAACCAAACAAATAGTAAGTCGACTTTGAGTTAACTTTCTTTAGAAAATGTGGGTTCAGATGCGATTGTTGAAGAGAGAAGGGGAAGACGTAAGTCGAACAAGCCTCGTCGACAACTCCCAACCAACAATGATATTTCATCAATTGGCGTTGTTGCATCTACCGACTTAAGTGGAGACGAAAAGAATGAAGATGATTCTACACCATCGAAAAAGATTAAGCATGATGAGTCTGAAGAGTCTCAGCAACTGACAAATAATCCAGTCATTGTTCCCGATGCTGCTCAACCCGGAGCATTGCAGGCATTACTAGCTTCCTTGGTTGGCGCAGGATTTAAGTTGGATCATCAAAAAAATCCTGGCGTCAATCCCTTCATCACTAATCTCTCTTGTGGATTACCCTTGGCCGAACAATCACTGATGCAGCGAATTACTCCAAACAGTCAGGGCTCAGTCCCTCTTGCTGACATCATGCTTAAGCAGAATCTCCAAGGCTCGACTTCCCTATCCGCTGATCACAATCCTTCCAGTCTTTTGACAACCATTTGTGAAACGTCAGGTCAGCCGCCGAAAAGTGTATTCATTGGCAAGTCTGTAGCTGCAGCATTTGCAGCTGCTGCCGCCAGTGGGAATAATAACAATGTTTCCACCCCCGTTTTGCAGGCTACCCAAACATCACAGTCGGCAGATGTTTTATCTGATGAAAGTTTGAATTCTGAACAGAACGATGTACCTCCCGGTTCTTCATTAGGTGATGCAGCAACAACGCTTGGAAATGGTAGTATAAACTTCCTTCGTTGCGGTTCAATGTCACAAAGCATTGCTGCACCCATTTCTATTAATTTGCCCATCACCACTAGCGCTGCACTTCAGCCGACCTTAACTGTGATTGGAAGTCTGCCGAATTCCTTATCAAATAGTGTCCCTGCCACCATTCTTTCAATTGGAAATCCTAATAATCGAAATTTTCCGGCTTCCAGTAACACATCAGCAATCACAGCTCTTTTACGTGGCTTAAGTCGTTCAAAATCATTAGCAACCACTTCAGGAAGCGAATCATCGACTTCAAAAACTGCCAATACTCCTGCCGCAGAACCTCCTGTTATGTCGTCCAACATTGATACAAAATCCGTTTCTGATTCATCTGCCTCTCAGTTACCACTGGACATAAACTCACTTACCGCTGCTGTTGCCGCCGTCACTGGCACTCTTCCACGCAATCCGACCATTTCACCTGGACCTTTACCTGGATCGGTACTCCTTTCATGCCCGAAGATTGTCCCAAATGGTGATCAAAATTCATCTATTTTAAATGTTGTTAATCAAAGGACAAACGACAGTTCTGTGCTTACGACAGATACGGGAACCATAGTGACGGAACAAATCAAATCGGAACCATCGTTAAAGGAATCCCCTGATTCTACCATTGACAGGATTCTTGAGAACATCCGCGGTCAGCTTCGAGCGTCTGAGGCTGAGAAAGCTGCCAGAGCCTCTCTTGTCGCCTCAAATACTTGCGTACGGAAGGTGAAGGTTAATGACGCAAAGCCTCCGTCTTTAATTTCACAAAGTGGGGGAGTCCGTCTCCAGCTCCCCATCAAAAAAGGTAATGGTAAATTAGCCCCTGTAGCTCCAAATCCAACAACTAGAACAGGACTTTCTACCTCAATTAATTTGTCGAATACTAACTCAGCGTCAACTATTACGTCTGCAATGGAGTCCGTTCACAAGGTTTACAAGTGTCGATATTGCGGGAAAACTTTTAATCGCAAATTTTGTCGAGAACGTCACGAACGGCTTCACACCGGCGTGAAGCCCTACACTTGCGAAATTTGCAATGAAAAATTCATTCGTTTAGAGGACAAGAAGCGTCATGTACGCTCAATTCTGCATACTTCGCGTGTAGCAGCTGCACAGGCTTCTGGAAAGTTAATTCCTGCAGGTCTGGATCCCCAGGATATGTCAGAAGGTGATGCTTCCCCCACTTCCGAACATACTTTTTGCATGGAAGATCCGGTAGCAGACACTCAGGCAGAAGCTGAGTCTTCAGAGGATCCGATTCCCATTTCCGCTTCCCCATCACCGCCTACTCAGGCAACCTTCAAGCATTTCCGCCGCTCAGAGCTGAAGCAATCGGTAACGCCCGTTCGACTTCTTTCCACCGAAGGTGCCGAACCAGGCTAAGAAGGGTTTAATTCGTTACTTTATGTATTATAGGCATCCACTTAATTCAAGTTGTGTATGTGGCGCGTTGTTGTGACTATCTAGAAGCATACCATTTTGCATCTCTAGTCTCCTACCATCAAGATTATTCGTAGAAATTTCTGTGCAATAATAAGTGTCTCAACCATGACGGTTACATTTCAACGCATTTATTAAACACATTCCAGTGCATCCATTGAAGCAGTGTATCTTTGATCTCATTTTTTGTTACCCTTCAATACACGTATGCGTATTGTAAACTCATTCTCCCGTGTTTTGTAATGATTGCTTACATCAGTCTCGTCCAACATGTACAGAACATTTATGACGAGTTTCAGTGGACCGGCTGGCATAAGGTGTAAGTGGATCGAGCTTCTGAGTAGTTTTCCCATGCCTGCTCATAATATCAATAATGATGCTGGAATCCTTGAATTGATTGCAATGATGAAGGACAAGGCAACATCGGCATTTAAAAACTTTCAAGTATAAGTATTGTGGATGGTGCATGCAAAGGCTACACTATATTAGCATGCTGCGAAAGTCATGGTTTTATGTTGTGGAGGAAGAAACCTGAAGTGTGCTGATGTCTGTTTTTCGGCCACCTAATAGAGTGCTACTCATGGATCGATGCGTTTGCGTGTGCGCGAATGCACTTTCTGCAGGCACACGCGAATTCCGGTGCCGTCTAGGCTGTGCGATTGAACCCTTAAGTCTAGATCTCTACCGTTCACTGCCTTGCCCATCTTATGACGTATAATGGATTTGGGAGAAGAAATGAGTGCTGTGCTTTGCACTGTTCTCTGTGTGCCTGTATTATCCCGCCAATTGGAGAATTGGCAGTTAATGATGCTTCCTTCTCAATAGCGTTTCGTATGGGTTGATATTGTGCTCAAATGGGATGGTTTACTCCTGAATCGAGAACAGTGTTGATTTGGATTAACTTTCTCCACATTGCTGAGCTTATTTGTACATATAGGATTAACAGTTTGGCATAGGGCATTTCAATGTGTCCTCAAACCTGAGCACTACATGAGTTCCGCCATCAAATTGTTGATTGGTTTTAATTAAAAACTTCGCATTCAGCTCGAAGTCACCTTGATGTCCATTTAAAGAGAGGCACTGACTGCTTATCACGGCTGGGATGGTGCGAAATACCCTTAGGCTGTGGGGAAAAGTGTGTATAGGTTAAGGCCTCCTTAATGGCCCTTAACGGGAATCGACACAATTTCGATTCGAACGATTCAGAGAGTAGGCGTGAGCTTAGCTGTCGCGCCATTGTTTTGTCGTGATTCGACCATTGGTCGAGGCCTGTGTCCAATCGATTTGTGCATGCGCGTCCAAACCCGTGTGTGCGTGCATGTGCCTGTGTATGCGTCACGGGTGTCACAGCACGTGATTTTGTGCTGTGTAGCCCGGACTCACCTCCTGAACTTTGCGAGATGTGTGCTACGTTAGTTGACATTGGTCTTCATGTTCAATCTTTCGACTTGCAAGACTTCACTACGGTTACGACATGCTCTTGTCTTTGACTGATATTTGATTTATGATTCACCCAAAACATAATCAACTTCTTCCTTATTTTGCTAAGTTAGCACTGTATCACCTCTTCACTTGTGTCAGGGCAAACTCTCTAAACTCCAGCTCAAAACAGAATTGATTTTCTCCCCAAGTGGACAGGTTAGACGTTGCACAGCCATGTAACAGTGCTAGGCACTGGTAACTATAAAAATAGTGCTTAAGACCTAATCATGCCGTCAACTTAACAATAATGACCCGTATGGCTTATAAACTGAAGGAAATGAGGATACAAGCTATAATGGTGACCGTGATGGAAATGCAGTATTAGGAGCGAAACAGTTGCGAAACAGTTGCGGACCTATGTACTTCATGCAATAGACTATCAACCATTTTATGCAACTATAAATTGCTAAACCAACAATAATCCACAAAATCGTAACCATCTGGGACATTAAACTAATAGTGGTAATTCGTGTATGAAATCGAAACGAACGCTTTCTGGATGGACTTGCGTTGCTGTAGTTTACTGCAAGCAATTGAAATTTGCATTGGTGAAATTACCGTAGCTTTTAGGTTAATCACGCACTCAAGGCAAATGTCTGGTCGACCCAGTCAGCATGGGAGAAGTTGGGTGAAAAGGGAAAGAGCACACCATTGTGTGTGCGCGTACACAAGCACGCCTGCATGCATGAGCACTGTGAGATCTGGGCAACCAATCCTGCAGTAGTCAGCATTGAGCATTAGGAAGCATGTGGTGCGTTGAGTCTGTGAAGTGGGGCGGGGAGGAGAGTGCGCGGATTGCCCTTCACAAGCTAGGAGACGACGGTGGCAGCAGTGGGATAATGATGGTGACAAGCACTCACTCATACGTGCGCACGCTGGTTTTTTGCGTCCAAGCTCATGCACGCACATCCGCATCAGCGCACACACCACACAGGGCGTGTGGCCGTACCGACGCATGCTTAGGCGCGCACGAAATAATCAATAGATAAGTCCGAGCATATGTGGATGGTCGCTCTTCCCATGCATATGTGAGGCTGAGCACCCGCCATGGAAAGATTGTGCATGGTAGAGGGGAGCACTGGGGTTTTACTTGCTAGTACACCTCACTCAAACATCACAAGGAAGCGACAGACTGGCAAATTTGCCAATCCTGGCGGAATACCTGGACAGCCTCCAGAATATACATCAAACATCACAAAGTGAAAACACCACTCCTACCCGAACAACTGAACCAGTGCAGTGAAGCCGTCCTTTCAGCGAAATAGAATCAGAAGAAGAGTAGCTAACACTATTTATGCGTATAACTTACCAAAGTCTACGGAGAGACCATATGGCAAACGTGTGGTTCCCTAATCATTTTCCTCCTTTCTAGCAGATCTAGATCAACTCAATAAGTTGTTCAATTTTCGTACAATATTTCTAAGATCCGTGTTTGTTCATATGTCTCCTACCCAAACAGTGAAATCGAGAGTAATTTATGAATATAATTTACCAATGCGATTATTTTATTTTAATAGAATCATATTTATTGCGTCTGTTGAGTTGCAATCGAGAAACAACAATATATTTCTTTTGTTTAAGGGTCAGGTACTGAGGAAATTTTGTGTGTAGGCTGTTATCAGCCCATGCTTAGTGAAACTGGTTTCTAATTCGAATGGGAAAGAGTTAATGTGTAGCACACGGCACCGCGATCACGAAGTTCGATTATTACAAGACCAAACCATGTGATAGTAGTAAGCATCGTATGAGCAAATCATGACTAACATCCATAACCGTTGCTGTCTGCGTGATGTTCAACGTGATAGCCACTGAGGCGTGCCGAGAGCGGGAGAGCTGGAGGGAGCGGGCAGTGAGAGTGATAGTGGAGGTGAGCACACACACACACACGCACGCAAACGCACACACAATCCACGTGCTGTTCTGCCCATGGCCACAACAGCCACGCGCGGGCACGCAAGCAATCAGCTCTCCATCTGGCGCGCAACCTCTGGCCGCCTTGAGCACGTGCACGGACGCGCGCCACAGCCAAACCGATCGATATGCGCACGTGCCACCCGTCTCACCACTGCGTTCACGCGCAACCTGTGCAGGCGAGAGGATAGGCGGCTGGGCAAAATCGCACTGAGCTGTGCCAATACGCCAGCTGCACCCATCTTATCGTAACAAGCTTTTAAACTCCCCTTAAAGCCGGTCTCAGAGATTGTGGACGGTGAAAACCTACAGCATCCATGAGCCACTGGAGCCCAGTATACACTTACCCACAAGTTTCGATTGCGAATTGACTTGATGTCCCAACTACCGTCGCCAATCAATTGGCCAAATCAGCAGTGAACACTCCCTACTAGCAAACATCTTTATTGCTGATACATATTAGGCGAACAAACGAACACCTTGCACATTGCAAATTTAGATCTGCGTAGATCGACTAAAAAAGACTAATGCGAAAGTATTGACCCGCTTCTACCATGTTTCACTTGACACTGAACACTAGCACAGTTAAGTGAAGTTTGGCCAATAATTTGATTGGTCACCAAGCGCGAAAACTGCAATGTTGAAGGAACTTCAATACAGACAAAGATGTAAAAGATTGTCAATCTCATTTAAGTTTCACTAATGATATCAGTAAAATTAAATAGCCAGATTGTTTAGGGTATCATCAGATTTTTGTGAACAGTAAATATAGCGAAAGTCGAAAATAATAAGAAAGATATGATTTTCCACTTTCACCAATTCGGCGGGAGCATTTGAAGGAGATAAGTGTGCTGTTCGTGCCATAGTTTAGTTCCTATCTGCCATTCGTTCGGTGCTACGCTGGCACGCCGAACATCGACCTTGGGTGTAGTTACCCATCGGCCGTTGAAGTTCAGCTACTGGCACCACTGCGATGGAGCACTTCAACTTAAACCGAATCGGTACGCTCTGATTACCGCCTATTTTTACTCTCAATCGCATATATTTAATTCAATGGGACCCGTAGATCGCCTTTTTTACTGCATGAAGTACTTACGAAATGCGGTGATTATTGTTTTCTTCGGCTGGAAGTATTGTAGAAATAATGACATTCCAAAGTGAATAAGTACAAGCACAAGCCCATAAGCTAAAAATCAAAGTTTAAGGTCAATTATGCCTTAATGTCCCAGAAATCAGCGCATCATATTATCTCGAGTAGTGCTGCTGACCACCTCAACTATAACGCTGTGAAGTACTAAACTCAAACAGACATACAATCAATTACTTTCCTGCATTACTCCACAACGAAGTGTTCTGAGTTCACTAAACCAAAAGGTCAAAGAACTTCCCACTGCGGATTGTATGGAAGTCTGTGTTCATAGAATTGAGGAGGGACTGAGAATAGCAACCTTAAGCACATTGCAGTAGATCAAAACCATCTGTGCGTTGTGCCGCATGGTGTTCAACGATCGGCGTAGGTTTACTCTAGCATTATAAATATGTAACTCAAT